ACGTTGCATTGATGTACCCAAAAACTCGTAAAACGCGAATAATTTCCGAAAACTCCATATGCCATAAACGCGCATCCGATTTCGGTGTGAACCCTAAAAAAAATGTGGTCCATTAAGAACCATGGATGACCCAGCTCACTCTATTTTTGAGATAAATTGGATACATCTCTCTTTGGGCTGAATTTTTTGAAGTTCTGGGAGAGGGAGAGGGGGGCACCTTTGAACGTGGGGCACCTTTGAACAGCGCTCATAAAATCTTGGTTTAATATTTTTCCGACCCGCAACCACATTTTTGTATATGGCAATCTTGTTCTCTATATGCGTAAACCACTTTGGCTTGCTTTTTCACTTGTCGAAAAATTGTGCATGGGTGACCATGTTTTCTGAGTGTCATTGTAAACTTTTTTCATTTGGTTGTAAGCAGGAAGAATTCTGTGATAGTTTTCTTTCGTCAAACAAATTTGTTGCATTCCAACTATCATTTCAAACATAACTAATGTAATTTCTTTCATATATATTTATTACAAAAAAAAGTTATTTAAAATTTCCGTAAAATGCCATGGGTGGGGCACCTTTGAACATGCCCATTAAATTCGAGTAAAAAAATGAGTTTTTAACTTTTGGATTCGATTTCTCAAAATTTCAAATGGGCTAATAAGATTACGAAATTAACGGTATTTTTCACCATATTAATTTTTGTTTTTAAGTAATTTTATGTTTTAATAACTTTTGATCTAAATTTTTTAAATTTTGAACATTTTTTATATATTTTTTAATGAATTAATGCATTTCTGATATATATGAATAAAATACATATATATTTGAACAGAAAGACTGTAAAAAACCATGCCGTTCAAAAATAAAAGCTTTGTTCAAAGGTACGCCCCTAAAAAGTTTTAAACACTTTGACTTCCTCCATTGAAACATAATAAAATATGTATATCAAGCTTAAAGTATGTCATATGTATATTCATTTTAAAGGTTACATATGTACCTATTAGTTAAAATTTATAAGAAACCAAAAATTATAAAATAAAAAATTTTATAAGGCTTGAAAGCAAAAAGTGTTCAAAGGTGCCCCCCTCTCCCCTACTATGCATAATTTGTATATCCTTCTCCACACTGCGGTACAGGGTAGTATGCGTTTGTGCATATGTTTGTAACAGGCAAAAGGAAACGAGATAGATCTGAGTCGATTTATGCATGTCCGTCCGTCCATCTGTCCATGTTAAATTGTAAACAATGTACAGGTCGCATTTATGTTCCGAATTCGATGAAATTTGACACAGCTCATTTGTTTGTGTCAAGGACGAACCCTATAGTAGCTCCCATATATAGTTTCGTCCGATTTTCAGTAAATGGTGTACCGCAGCCCCAAAATTTGTCGATTGACACAAAATTTTGCACAATGTACTGAAGTTAGTATAACCTACTGTGTGGAAAGTTTCGCTAAAATCGGTTCAGATTTAAATATAGCTCCCATATACATATAATTTCGTCCGATTTTCAATAAATGGTGCACCAAAGCACAACGAACTGAGGTAGGTATAACCTACTGTGTGGAAAGTTTCGCTGAAATCGGTTCATATTTCAGTAAATTTGGCGCACACCAAAGCCCAAAAATATGGCGCAGGGGCCAAACAGAACGACTTGTTGTATTGGTTTCTATATATTCTGACATTATAGCCCACAAAGTAGAGGAGTATTTTTTCTTTGTTGACAAATGATACCCTACTTTGTATAATTCTACCATGGGCATAGCTACCTAAATTCAAAATTTGTGTATTGCCATGTAGGGGAACACTTTTTCCTTTCAAGCCTCATACAATTTTATTTTATAATTTTTGTTTTTTTACAAATTTTAACTAATAGGTGCAAATGTAACATTTAAACTGAATATACATATGACATACTTTAAGTTCGATTTAAATGTTTTATTACTGTTATACTGGACCAAGGCATTTTTGAACGGCATTGTTTTTTTTTACAGTGATTATGTTCTAATATTTATATATTTTATTCATACATATCAGAAATGCTTTTATTTATTAACTTAACTTATGCTACGTTTACATTTAATCGGATTTCGTTAACCCAGTGGGTTTAAATTGTCAATCCTTTTGCATATATGTCAAATAAATCCTCATAAAGTAGGTTAACCCGGTAAAAATTCTAATGTATATGCCGTTTTAGTCTTATTAACCCATTTGAAATTTACAGAAATCGAAGTCTGTGACATTTTACGGAAATTATTTTTTTTTAGTAAGTATGGGAGAGGGGGGCACCTTTGAACACTTTTTTCTTTCAAGCCTCATAAATTTTTTTCTTTTATAATTTTTGGTTTCTTATAAGTTTTAACTTATGTAACCTTTAAAATGAATATACATATGACATACTTTAAGCTTGATATACATATTTTATTACTGTTTTAATGGAGGAAGTCAAAGTGTTCAAAACTGCCCCCCAGGGGCGTACCTTTGAACAAAGCTTGGTATTTTTGAACGGCATGGTTTTTTACAGTGCTTATGTTCAAATATATATGTATTGTATTCATATATATCAGAAATGCATTTATTTATTAAAAATATATATAAAAATATTCGAAAATTAAAAAATTCTGATTTAAATTTATTAAAAGATAAAATGACTTAAAAACAAAAATTTATATGGTGCAAAATACAGCTAATTCGGTAATCTTATTAGCCAATTTGAAATTTTTGAGAAATCGAAGCCAAAAGGTAAAAACTCCGTTTTTTAATGGAGTTTACTGGGTATGTTCAAAAGTGCCCCACCTGTGGTATTTTTCGGAAATTTACATGGTATAATAATTTTGTTGTACAAAAAACGAAAATATATATGAAATTTGGAAAAGTGTCAACTCATTTGACAGAAAAATGTAAATAAACAAACAAATTATCATCAAATTATTTTTATTTTGAAAATGAAATATTTTGCAACAAAAATTGAAAAACATTGAAAATCTATCAAATTTATATTTCTATCTATTCCATATCTTTCCTATAATTGAGCCATTGCCATATATATGTGTAACATATATGAAAATGCTGGGAATAGCGAGTTATTCCAAAAGATTTGCTTCCTAAAAGTTTCCCAGCAGGCAGATTGAGTAAATTGAATACAGGAGCACATTTAATAAAGAACATTTTTAAATTGTATGCGTTCCCAATTTTCCTGTTGGGTGATTTTTAAAAACATAATTTGTCTAATTCATATTGACACTAGTATTACGTTGGAATTAAATCAGCTGGGATTTGCTGTTACCTTTTATAATTGTACCATGGGAAATTTATAATAACTTTTTTTGTAGAAAATATATATGAAAGAAAATACATTAGTTACGTTTGAAATAATTGTTGGAATGCAAAAAAATTGTTTAACGAAAGAAAACTACCACTGAATTCTTCCTGTGCCCTTACAACCAAAAGAATAAAAGTTTACAATGACACTGCGAAAACATGGTCACCCATGCACAATTTGTCGACAACTGAAGAAGCTAGCCAAAGTGGTTTACACAGATAGAGAATAAGATTGCCATATACAAATATGTGGTCGCGGGTCGGAAAATTTTTAAACCAAGATTTTAAAGGTGCCCCCCTCTCCCCTAATATATATGAAAGAAAATACGTTATTAATTTTTGAAACGACTGTCGGAACTCAAAAAAAAAAAACGAACAAAAATGAACACTGAATTCTTCCTGCTCCCTTCCAAAAATAAATAAATGTTTACAAAGGCACTGCGAAAACAGCTAAAAATGTTCACTCATCTACATTTTGTCGACAACTGAAAAAGCTAGCCAAACTTAAGGCGCGTTTAGACTACAGCTTTTATCGTGATAAAGTGCATTATCTCGATTTAATTGCTAAATCGAGCTGAATTTACCTCGATTTACCATACAAAATTAAATCCACTCAATATATCGATTAACTCGAAATCCTATGCTAAGTCAATATAGTTTCAAATACAACCCTGTCTTTGTCCCAAAAATAAACATTTCTCCTTAAGGTATGCTTTAAGATTAGTTAATATTCAAATAACTGCCGAACAGAAATATGTCAGCCGTTAAAAAATTTTATTGTTTGCATTTATAATAAATTTTCCTACAATTTAGAAGAACAAAGGTTGTTATGCATTTCTGACCTAGTGGAGAGCAATTCCTAATAAAATTATAAAAATATTTAATAAAAATTTCCACAAAAATCAGAAGAGCAGTGAAATGTGTATATATACGAAAACAGATACCTGCTGACAAATCCACTTAATGTCATTTTATTCTAGTCTAAACAGTTAGGATAAAAGGCAAAGTCTAAATGTGCCTTTAATGGGCATTGAATACTATAACCGCTGAAACACCTTTGTGTTGTCAAAACCCATATTTTGAAACCGGTAATGCAATCACAATATCAACCAAATCTCTTATTGTGATTTGAATATTTAGGATTAGTGCATTGTACAATGTCAGCGCCATCTATATTTGACTTTTTGAACTATGTGCCAGCTCACAACTATATAAATATTGTAGCCTAAAAGTATGCATTACATTTTTATTTGTGGTTGTGTAGTTGTGTAGAAATATTTTCTCTACATTTCTACATTTTTTAACACTGACAACAGTATCTATATTCCGCTTTGCTAGAAGTGTTCAGGCTCTTAGGCCTGAATGAATTGATAATAAATATAAATATGAGTCAATAAATATAAATATTCCAATGCACTGGATCTGTGAATAGGCCATCCAACAATTATTTGAATATATCCAGACAGGGCTGTATTGCTAACTCAAGGCCAGCGGGATTTTCTAGCTTTTATTGACATAATCCGCAAGTAGACTACTTGAGTCATTGGCAATGACTTTGTCAGAAAATAAAATTCACAGATTTACTACAAATATGAATCATAAAAGTAAAAATGTGTTTATTTTTACAATTCCTTGTTCATTATAAAAGTATTATATATTTTCGATTGGGTTCAGTTTATCAGCTTAGGTTTTCAAAATTTGTAAAAGTTTCGAAAAATAGTTTTGCTTTTCTGGATGATCGGTACTGAGCACCTGGATAGTCTCTATCAAGTGATCATTCATTTCAATTTGTTTTTGCATTTGACTGAGAATTGTTGCCTCGGAGCGTGGCAATTTAAAGGGTTGTGTCGAACCATTTAGACGGCGATACGATTTGGCCCGATTTTGTTTGCGCACAATATTTTCCAGGTTCTGATGTTTATGTAAGAGGCCAACTTCAATATCATTTTTTAATTTATTATTTTCGTCGGTTGCTTGTTCGATTTGAGCTCTCAGTCGTTTGATTTCATCCTCGAGACATTGGTAATTGTTTTTGAGTTGTCCTATTTGCTGATCGGAAAGATGGCTTATTTCCGCTTGCATTTGTTTTAGTTTATTACGCAAATCGTTGATTTTATACTGAATCGTGGTTGTGTTTTGGCGAACCTTGGAGGGCTTTGTCTGTTCTAGGGTCTGTTTGTTCCATGCTGTTGCCGATATATGCTCCCGATGCATGACACAGTGATCGAGGTCTTGAATCAGTTTCTCTTGGGCTCTCTTCAGCTGTTGGTGTCGGATTTGCATGCGATGAATTTCCGTTCGCATTGTTCCCAACTCACTGTCCAGGGCTGCCTCTTCCTTTCGCCAACGCAGGGTTTCTTCAATGAGCTTATATTTGGTTTCCCATGACAGCGATTCCCGGTGCTTGTCTAGGACCAAATCTTTGTAGTGTTCGATTTCATTTTGCAGTTCATTGATGTCATCCTCAAGTTGTAAAACACTAAATTCCTGATCCTTTGACACAAAATAGGTACAAATATGTATTAGTATGTGAGTCGCAAGAATATCATACGATCGAGTCTACTACATCAGCATTTGTTGACCAACCTTCAGTTTGTCCACAAGTTCGCCGTGCTCCTGTTCACATTCGTTTTCTACCGTTTCGTGTTTCTGACGCTTCTGGGCAACCTTGGCATTCAACAATTCCAATTTCGATTGATAGATTTGTATTTCCCTGGAAAGTTCTCGGGTATTGATTTCTGTTTTCTCCAAATCTTGGTCCAATTTTAAGGATTTTTGCTTAATAATCGACAGTTCTGTAGGTGGAGGAATGTGAGAAATATAGTTAGTTAGTTGATATAAAAATTGTGATATTTCATTGATTTAGTTACGCTTTCTGGTGATTTGAATCTGATTCATTTGGACATTCCTTTTTTGAGTGAGATTTACAAAATGATTCTGCAACATTATCCAAAATTGTTGATAGTCCCTGATTTGCTGATCCAAAGTTTGTATTGATTTTTCCCTTTGTTTTATCTGTAGAAAATGAAGAAAAACAGACATTATCGCCAGTATATTTGTGGTTTTTGTAAAGCAAATTCAATAATTGGTTGGACATTATCAGTATGATGGCCCTCCCTCAGACTTTAATATAATGAATACAATTTTAAAAGATATATTCTATGAATCTCTCCTACACCCATCGATCCAACCATTAACGAAAAATAATTTCATATCCGTATGTTACCTTCATTTCAGTTGGACTTATTTCTTGTCCCTCATTGGAACGAAGCAGTTCATCCAATTGATTGTTTAACTTATCCATGCGTTTCATTTTGACTTCAATCTGGGTCTCCAATTGTTTCAATTCCACGGTCATGCAATCGGCTTTATGCTCCAATGCAACGAGTTTTTCGTTGAGCTTCTCATTCTCTTGGCTGGTTCGGAAATTATTTGCTTTGTAACGTTCCATTTCTAGAAGCGTTTCCGCCAGTTGGCTTTGGGCCTGAGCCAAATTCAGTTCCATGATACGCCGTTCTTCTTGTGAGTTATTCAGTAGCTTTAGACGATATTCACTGGCCTTGTCGGTTATCAATTGTTCCTGTGCCAATTTTAGAATATTCTCTTCGGTCAGATACTTTTGGTTGTTGAGCTTGTCAATTTTCAATTGTATTCGACGTATTTCCGTGTCTAAATTTGCACCTTCGATCTTGGCTTCTTTTAGATCCTTTTCGGTTTGTTCGAGAAGAATTGGTATTTCAATGAGTTTTTCTTCTAGGCCGTTTAAAATATCAGACTGCGTTTTGCCTGGGGAATGAAATAAATTGACGATATAAAATATTATCAGATTTTTTTTAGCTATTCCCCCTTTTATAAATCTCTCTTTCGATGATACAGAATTTTAACTTATCAAGTCAAAAATAGAAGCGTTTAATGTGGGCCAAACGATCGGGACTTTTATATGGGGCTTTGCCGTAATAGCAATAATTTAAAATATGAAAATATCTGAATATTAACCAATACAAAATTCCGAGGTACTTATGATCAATATTGATATGGAAATTATGTATCTTATGAGAATCCGACATCTAGGCTCCCCAAAATACCGAAATTTTTCGATTGAAAAAGGCGCCAAAAATACCGGATACCTTTACCTTTCTATGTGCCAAAGGTCTATCTTAAATATTGCTATGTCTATCGTGATTTCAATTTACAGAGTGGGCTCCTGGGAAAGTTTTCGAGGTGTTGCAAACCCTTGGAGCACCAATGTATTAAAAGAAAATCCTAAAAAAGTGCATATCAATTTTATCTACTTTAAAATAAATATTTGACGACAACACGTTTAAATCTTTTTGCGTGTAATCGGGTTATATCTAAAGAGTAATTTCGGACCACAAAGGATTAATAATATAAATAATATCTTACAATCACTATTGTCTAAATGTCACCTAGCACTAATATACAACACTCACATTCTCCTCGCAGTAGCGTATAATCGTCGGACAATCGTTTCTTAAATGTTTCCAATTTATCATTAAGTTCCAATTCTTTTCGTATTTGCTTTTTGATAGCCTGAATACCGGCAGTATTTAATTTGATAGCTTCCTTTTCTTTGCTAAAAAAACCCAAAGAAGAGTAAAGCCAATCAGAGTATTCTCAATTATTCATAAAATAAGTGAAGACGATTTTCTTACTTAATAGCCTCCTGCACCTGATAGAGTATACGATCTCTAAGGGATATTGCAACAATAACTTCCGACCAAGCCTGCGTTAGACGTTTGTGTTCGGTTTCCAGTGCTTCCAGGTCAGCATTGGCATTGGCCACACTCATATTGAGCACATTCATAACTTCTTCCATGTCTTTGACTTCATTTGTCACAATTTCCAATTCTTTTTCGCTCTTTCGCACTTCGACGTCCAAATGGTAGAAGAGCAGATCGGATTTCTTCTTTTCCTCGGACAACTGTTGTTGCAGCTGGGCATCTCGGCTAACAATGCGTTTGGCATTTTTTACTTCGTCCTCAACATCATCGGCCCACTTGCGGATATTTCTTTCCAATTCTTGCATATTTTCCAATTCAGACATCCGCTTGTTGTACTGCGTCTTCTGCTCCTTGGTGATTAGCGCCTTCCTATCGAACTCCTCTTTGAGATGGCGCACAGCCTCCTCCTCTTGGTGACGTTTTTGGACGTTTTCCTCTATCTGTTGGGTAAACTCCTCCAATTGTTCGTTTTGACGTTCTATTTCCTCCTGCATATCGTATAATGTTGATCCTTGTTCTTCGCGTTGCTGCTCCTTCTGTTTGACCGAATATTTGATTTCTTCGATTTCATTGATAAGCTTATCCCGCGTACGAAGGAGATATTCCTTAAGAGTCTGTTGGAACTTTTGCAGAAGTGGATGATCGGGAGGCAACAGGGCTAAGGACAATTCGTCTTCTGCAGATTTTGTCTCAGAATATTTCTCCTTATCGGATCTTTCAGATTCAAACGGAACATTATTCTCTTTATTTCCCTTGGTGTTTGCATCATCTTGCTCTTTATTATCAAAATTAGGTTTGGTAAAAGACATGTTTTTTATTTAAACAAATTTTTCGGTTTTATATTTTTTGTTAAGTTAAATAAGTGAATGAATTAACAAAACCTATCGATTGATAAACTTATTGACAATTGATAGATTTAAATCCTGGCAAGTCAGCGAAGTTGGTTGTCATTGGAGACATTTGTCCATATTTATTTATGTGACACAAACAAAATGTATCCGTTCCAGCGTTGTAGCAAACATACGATTTTGCCAAATCATCCCTTGCACTTGGGGAAACACCTGCGTTTTATTTATGCGCACCTTGGGCTGATTTCGAAATGCATTTCTGGTTACGTAGCACATAGGGGAAGTATATCTTACAATCAGATTCAACTTTGTTGGTATTGTTCGTTAAAGGCAATATATATATGTATATACCAAGTATGTGTGCCGATTTTAATGAAAAGATTTAATATAACTGTTTCGTCTCCAAATGATTCAGGGAAATATGTACATACTGGGAATATTTGGGTTAATATGCAAGAATTGGAAACAATACTAAATATATACAGCCTGGGAAAAATATGACTTACAAACTCCTTGGTTTTGAAAAATATGTCATTTATTTTTGTTTTGAATCAGAAAACATTTATAAACATAAATAAAGGTTTGGTCGTAAGTCACTCGAATTCGTTCGTTTGGAATTTTACAAAAACAGGATGATAATGTTTTTTAGAACATGCAATAATCTTCTATTAGTCGGAAAGGTTTTCCATCCATTTCCCCCAAGGCCAAAAAAATATTATTGACAATGACATATGGCCTGTTCCCGTACTGCAAGAATGTACTACTTTTTACTACGATAACGAATTTTCCTTTATGATATCAATGAAAATAGTAAAATAGTAAAATGTCCTAATCAAGGTTTATTCATAAGGTTAACAAGCAGGCGAATTCAAAGTCTTCATTGATTCTATAAATAGGAAAAAATCTTAAAATAAAACTACATTATGATATATACATTGTAAATTGCGCAATCCTAAAAATAATTTGGCGTCCTAAAAATAATTTTTGAGATAAATTGGGTACATCTCTGTTTCGGTTGGATTTTTTAAGTTCTATTTTCGCAAAAGTTCAAAATCCGTATCAGGTCATTTATTGAAACGGAAATTATCCACAGAAAATGCAATAAAATACGTGATATTTTCAAAAACATTTTTTTTTTGCCAAATTTCGCGTTTTTTGGCAGGCCAGTTCTCACCGTTCTAGTAGATGAATTTTCACGAAGAAACTTGAAAAAAATTAAAAACGCTTATAATCTAGCTTCAAAATGTCAGTATAATTTAAAGGTAGATGCAGATAAATTTTCGAAAAACGGTACATAAAGAACGTACTTCTCATTCTGTGTCCTTCTAGTTGTAGATTAGTACAAAGGCCGGAAATGAATTAGGGATAAGTAAATCCATTAATCGATGAATCGACTTTTTGTATTGAAAAGTGTAAATAGCGACTTTTGATCTTTGAAGAAATCGCAAAGTCGACTTTTCAATATCGACTTTCGATCTTTTTCATAAATACTTGGTTTATTATCTCAAATCCCAAATTGTTCAAAAATTACACATTCTAGAATTCAATTTAATCTGCTGACAACAATTAATTAAAATACTTACATTTTTAGTCGATTTTGCATTAGTCGGTAAAAGTCGAAAATCGATTTTGAACAGGTTTGTCAAAATCGAAAGATCGAAAAGTCGACTTTTTAGTCAAAGGCAAAAATCGAAAAGTCTAAAAATCTACTTTTGCTCTCGATTACGTATCCCTAAAATGAATGGCCTGGGTTGCCTCACCCAGTTTTACCCATTTTTATATCCGTCACCACACTGTGGTACAGGGTATTATGTCTTTGTGCATATGTTTGTAGCAGGCAAAAGAAAATGAGATAGAACCATGGTTCCTTTTGAGAATATGCATAGAATAACTTTCTGAGTCGATTTATGCATGTCCGTCCGTCTGTAGATGTTAAATTGTAAACAAAGTACAGGTCGCATTAATGATCCGATTTGAATGAAATGTGGCACAAGTCACTTATTTGGCCCAAGGACGAACCCTATGGAATTGAAGAAAATCGGGTCAGATTTAAGGTAAATGGGGCACCAAAATCCCTATATATCCTTCGATTTGAACGAATTTTGACATAGGGTACCGAATTAGGTCCAGAATAATGTGTGGTAAGTTTCGTGAAAATCGGTTCAGATTTAAATTTAGCTCCCGTATATAGATTCGTCCGATTTTATGTAAATGGTGCACCAAAATCCCTATATATCTTTCGATTTGAACGAAATTTGACATAGGGTACCGAATTAGGTCCAGGATAATGTGTGCTAAGTTTCGTGAAAATCGGTCCAGATATATATATATATATATACATATGTATATATATATTTCTTCTTGTTTTTTTTTACTGCGAAATGTCCCAAACGCAAAGACATCATAAATTCTTTTCGGAAACCTTGAGTTTCCCTTCAGTACGGTTTTATTGGAATGCATTTATTTGGAAGTTTTATTTGCTCACGGCAATAAAGAACTAACTGACTATACAACTAACTTAAGTACTAAATAACCTGTAACATTTTTTGTTCGTCCTCTAACTTAACAATCTATTGGTTTATCTGCAGCAGCAATTAAAAGTCGTTCATCTTCAAAAATGTAATATTTCTCTGTGTCGGGATAGAGTCCCGTAGCTAATTCTTCCACCTCGGTGTGACCCACAGCCTCGTTAAACACATCAAACGAGCGTAGGCTCTTTGCAATTATTGACCTTTGCTCTCGCAGTTTGTCCTCTTGGTGATCGACATTCTGAATATGACACATCGGTGTACTGGCGGCCACACCAACTAGCGCCATTGTATCTCCGGTATGGACCACAACATCAACGTCGTGTTTCTTTGTCCAGCTCATAATCCAAGAGACTACGAAAAAGCAAGCAGCATTCATTGGAAATGATCGAATCATGGTCGAAGTCATACCGCGGAAGAAGAACCGCCATCCGTCATTGTTGTAGCCCTGCCGTATGCAGTCCATATATCCTCTGTATTTGGGATTTTTAGCATCGTCCGCTTGGATGCAGGTCTTTATTACGTCTATGGGATATGTTGCTAACCATGAACATATGCCGGCCAGACCTCCCGCACAGAGACCATAAAGGACATTCGGTTGACTTTGTTGGCGCATCATATATTCGTAGCTCACGAAATAACTGGCAAAACCTAGAAGTCAGAAGAAGACAAATTAATTTCGACTTAATTCTATCAAAACGCAGTCAATAACCACTCACCTGGAATGTCTCTGGCAGCGGTGAACATTAAACCTCTCATGGTGCCGCGCAAACCTTCATACTTCACTATGTACCTCAGGTACTCGAGTGGCCCCTTGAATTTTTTCCCCGGTGATGATTCGTTTTGTAATTGAAGTCGCGTCTTGGCCAACTCCATGGGCGAACACACAATACTTTGGAATAGGCCAGCAATGCCACCGGCCAGGGCATGTGAGGTCAAGGAGTCGGGATCAGTTCTCGATCGCTGAACATTGCCGTAGATACCGAATACAATGGCATTTACGAAGCCAATGCCACCCATTGGACTTGTAATGCCACGGTATAATCCGCTGAATTTATCCTGCGCCACAATGGTGCGCATACAATGCCATGTTCCCTTGTATTTGGGATTTTTGGGATCCTGTGTTTGTAAATGAACTTTGACCGTGTCCAAAGGATGTCCCACCAGAACACCGGCACAACCTTAAAAGAACGAAGGAAAAACCCATATTTGAAGATATTGCAAATAGGGATGAAGACAACTGTGTCTGTTTACCTCCGATACAGCCAGCCAAGAAGTCTAAAGCCATTTTTCGATTCCAAAAATTATCGGTTGTTTTTATTTTATGTTTGTTATTTTCCTCGTCTCCAATATGGACTGGGTCTAACTTTATCTGAAAATAATAATACAAAATCCTTATTAGTTTGAGTTAATGGAATTGTTTTTTTAGGTTAATGCCTGTTGCAAGTTGAAAGTTTGAGATGACAAGGTTAAGACGACGTGTGTAACCATATACGTTAGCGTATGTTTTTGAGCACTTTTGCTCATCGATGATACAAGTACAGTAATGATTCTGTAAAGGCGGAAGAAGATAGAATTAATATACGGAAGAAGACAATCATTGTGGACGAGTTGTAGGGCAAACTTTCGTCTTTTCAGACGAGTAGAAGTTTGCTGTAAAACTATTTGAATGGATATTACAAGCAATACATAGACAAATTATGGCACTCCGTTCTTTTTGATAGTAAAAGAGAGTTAATTATCAAAAATTATCCTCATGCACAAACTTTTCCCAAAAACTATGGGAATTTTTTTAAACTTGAAACGCGACAAAATAAAAATAAAACAAGATAAACTGGAAGCCAAAATTAAGACTTTTTTGAGTAAGAACATTTCACTTTTGGAAATAAAAGAAAGTAGTCCAAAAATAAATAATAGTTTAAATGAATTAGAGCTTCCTAGCTAAAATTTTTTCCGAGGGCTCTAATTTCAGAATTTCCAAGCTTTCTGATTTTTTTTAGAAATTGGTCTATTTTTCTGAAATATTCGTAGAAATTCGGTCCAATTTTTACGAATATTTCAGAAAAATAGACCAATTTCTAAAAAAATCACTTTTTACCGAAAATCTGCACACTTTTTTAACTTGAATCGGACCTTTTCTCTTTAGGCGTAAAAAAATAATTGTGTTTTGAAATGAAAAAAAAAATAAAGAAATCAGGGCACCGGGCACTGTTCTATATTTTTAGTTGTTGTTCAAGTTTTAAAAAATTTTTACCAATAAAAAGTGATTTTAAATTCCTTAGAAGTTGACACACCTTAGAATATTTTCTTACAGGTGAGAGAAATAAAAATCCATACAAATTTCAAGATCTTATGTTATATTTTTAAATCTATTTTTTTAAATATAGATATGGCGACTGCTGCAAGTACAATATAAATTATAAAAATAAAAGCAAAGCATATTCTAAATAATTATTAATTTATTGTTATTTTGAAATCATACAAGTGTTTTTGTGTGTATACAAAGAAAAATTAAAAATAAATAAAATAAACCAAACAAATAAATAATGAAATTGAAACATTTATTTTCTTTAGAATTTATTTTTCATAAAATCTTAATTTTTATATTCGGAAATTGAACCGATTTTTCTAGAAAATTTAAAATTTCTTTCGAATTCCGACCGATTTTTGGCTGGAAATTATAGCATTTTTTTTCCAAATTTCTTTCGAAAGACTTTCCGATTTCGGTGATAACCTCTATACAAATTTTGTACCGAAATTGAAACGAATCGGCAATTTGTTAAGAGGTTCGGAAAAAATGTTTGCTGGGTTATATCTGCGCCTAACTTTATGCCCTATAAATGGAAACTGGCAACACCTTTAACTATTTTTATACCCTTCACCACACTGTGGTACAGGGTATTATGTCTTTGTGCATATGTTTGTAACAGGCAAAAATAATCGAGATAGACCCATGGTTCCTTTGAGAATATGCATAGAATCACTTTCTGAGTCGACTTATGCATGTCCGTCCGTCCGTCTGTCCGTCTGTCCGTCTGTAGATGTAAAATTGTAAACAAAGTACAGGTCGCATTTATGATCCGAATTGGATGAAATTTGGCACAGCTCATTTGTTTGGCCCAAGGACGAACCCTATTGAAATTGGGAAAAATCGGTTCAGATTTAGATATAGCTCCCATATATATTTTCGTCCGATTTAATGTAAACGGTCCCTATATATCTTTCGATTTGCACGAAATTGGGCACAGCGTAATGAATCAGGTCTAGAATGATGTGTGTAAAATTTCATAAAAATCGGTTCAGATTTAGATATAGCTCCCATATATATCTTCGTCCGATTTAAGGTAAATTGTGTACCAAAGTCCCTATATATCTTTCGATTTGCACGAAATTTGGCACAGCGTAATGAATAAGGTCTAGACTGATGTATGCCAAGTTTCGTGAAAATCGGTTCAGATTTAGATATAGCTCCCATATATATGTTCGTCCGATTTAAGGTAAATGGTGTACCAAAGTCCCTATATACCATTCGATTTGCACGAAAATTGGCACAGCGTAATGAATCAGGTCTAGAATGATGTGTGTAAAATTTCATAAAAATCGGTTCAGATTTAGATATAGCTCCCTTATATATCTTCGTCCGATTTAAGGTAAATTGTGTACCAAAGCCCCTATATATCTTTCGATTTGCACGAAATTTGGCACAGCGTAATGAATAAGGTCTAGACTGATGTATGCCAAGTTTCGTGAAAATCGGTTCAGATTTAGATATAGCTCCCATATATATCTTCGTCCGATTTGAGGTAAATGGTGTACCAAAGTCCCTATATACCATTCGATTTGCACGAAAATTGGCACAGCGTAATGAATTAGGTCTAGAATGATGTGTGTAAAATTTCATAAAAATCGGTTCAGATTTAGATATAGCTCCCATATATATCTTCGTCCGATTTAAGGTAAATTGTGTACCAAAGTCCCTATATATCTTTCGATTTGCACGAAATTTGGCACAGCGTAATGAATAAGGTCTAGACTGATGTATGCCAAGTTTCGTGAAAATCGGTTCAGATTTAGATATAGCTCCCATATATATCTTCGTCCGATTTAAGGTAATTGGTGTACCAAAGACCCTATATATCTTTCGATTTGCACGAAATTGGGCACAGCGTAATGAATCAGGTCTAGAATGATGTGTGTAAAATTTCATAAAAATCGGTTCAGATTTAGATATAGCTCCCTTATATATCTTCGTCCGATTTAAGGTAAATTGTGTACCAAAGCCCCTATATATCTTTCGATTTGCACGAAATTTGGCACAGCGTAATGAATAAGGTCTAGAATGATGTATGTCAAGTTTCGTGAAAATCGGTTCAGATTTAGATATAGCTCCCATATATATCTTCGTCCGATTTAAGGTAAATTGTGTACCAAAGCCCCTATATATCTTTCGATTTGCTCGAAATTTGGCACAGCGTAATGAATGAGGTCTAGAATGATGTATGCTAAGTTTCGTGAAAATCGGTTCAGATTCAGATATAGCTTCCATATATATATATATATATTCGTCCGATTTAAGGTAAATTGTGTACAAAAGTCCCTATATATCTTTCGATTTGCACGAAATTTGGCATAGCGTACTAAATAAAGTTTAGAATGATGTGTGCAAAGTTTCGTGGCAATCAGTACAAATTTAGATTTAGCTCCCAAATATAGCTTCGCCCGATTTTAGGTAAATAGTCCACTAAAGTCCCTGGAAATCTTTTGGTATAGCGTACTGAATTAAGTCTAGAATGATGTGTGCAAAGTTTCGTGACAATCGGTCCAGATTTAGATATAGCTCCCATATATATTTTCATCCGATTTAAGGTAATTGGTGTACCAAAGACCCTATATATCTTTCGATTTGCACGAAATTGGGCATAGTGTACTGACATTTGAAACAGTAATAATTTGTGCTAAGTTTCATGAAAATCGGTTTAGATTTAGATATAGCTCCCATATATATTTTCGCCCGATTGTAGGTAATTGGTGCACCAAAGTCCCTGGAAATCTTTTCATTTGCACGAATTTTGGCATAGCGTACTGAATTAAGTCTAGAATGATGTTGCAAAGTTTCGTGAAAATCGGTTCAGATTTAGATATAGCTCCCATATATATTTTCGTCCGATTTTATGTAATTGGTGCACCAAAGTCCCTATATATCTTTCGATTTGCACGAATTTTGGTATAGGGTACGTTGGTTAGCTAAGTACTTCGCGTTGTTACAAGAGACATTTGGGTTTGAAAGGTTTTTTGTATAGAAGCAATAGCTTCTGGGGAGAATATCCCAACAGAAAACTAAGGGAACTTATGAGGATCAGTGGCGGGATCCGAAACTATAGTCTTCCCTGCCTTACCCCTCGGCAACCAATGCCATACATTCCTCACTAATAAATAGTTCTTTTTTATAAAAACACAATACAAATGGTATCCCAAATAAACCGCCAACACTACTGAAGTACTGAATTAAGTCTAAAATGATGTTGCTAAACTGGATACATATGTAGAATATACCCAAAGTGGTGAAGGGTATCATATAGTCGGCCCAGCCCGACTTTACTACTTTCCTTACTGGTTTAATAATATAATAATCTCGGCATCAACTTGTAAAGCAGGAACATAATCTCTCAAAAAAAAAAAAAAAAAAAAAAAAAAAAACGCAGTTAATTTTTTTATCTGTGAAGTAATCGTATGCAGCATTTCATTAGATTTTATGATTTGTGTATACCTACATTGTGATTTAGCATTTTTCCTGTCTTTTTGCAGTTTTTACAATTTCTGGTAACACTAATTGCCACATGTACGTTAAATGCAGAGTACACAAATAAAATATGAAATAAAATATTATGAAAATTAAGAGTATTTTAGTGTTACTATACCGGAGTATAACTACAATTCTGGGATAGTCGAGGTCGGTTTTTGACAATTTATTAAAAATCAATTCATAAAATAACCATGAACATTTCATTGATTCTAAAATTGATTCAGAAACTGATATATTAAACAATATTATATGTTTTTTTTTACAACTGTAAACATTGTGTGCTTTTATTTACTTTACATTTTTTGGGTCACACGTGATTAGCTTCGTCACGCTTCCTGCTTTCAGTCGAAAATAAACTATAATTCGAAAGATTAAATCTAGCTTTACGTCTGGCACATGACAACACGTTTCACGTGATTGCTCACAACTACATACTAAAGTGTTTTAAATTGAAGATTAGGCTAATAAATTAAAACAAAAATTATTCGATTATATATAAACTAATTATGCAATAATATTATTGAATCTACATAGGCGATGTGAAAAAT